GGAGTGAACTTGCTAACCGTCACATTTCTTACACTCATCTGTTCTCGTTTTATTCTTCATAATCTAACACAGCAGTTACATGTCACTGAACACTCGGAAATTAAATATACAATGTGCTTTTGGTGGTTTCCCAGAGCCTTGCACTTGTACAGCTGACCTGTTTTAAATTTTGTTCATGACAGATTTGGACTGATGTAGCCAAAATTGGGGAGCTAAACTGACCAGAGACTTGAATTGTCATCTCCCTCTGCCTCCTGAATAAATCATTCCTCTCCAGCTGGATGAGTGTTTAGATCAGAGTTTCATCCCTGCTGTTGTGGTGGGAAAAAGGCTATTATTTATCTTCCTCAATTCCTGTGCTGTCTGACTTTTGAATTTCTGGTTACTTCATGTTTACTGCTGTTGCTGCTTCAGTGTGATACCCTTTTCCTTAGCTCAATGAAAGACATCCCAAGGAGGCTTTAGATTTTGGCTAGTTTTAGCCCAGTTGGGTGTTTGTTATGATGAGAACATAGTGATATTGGCCATTAAAACTTCTTCCTAGACCATTAAGTTGCAGTGGAGCTGGTACGTAAACGCTAAGCTATATATGCAAACTCCAGACAGCCATCGCGGTCTACGGAGGTGAGACACAACTTTGTCACAGCAGTCTGCTGGGCAGGGAATGGTAGGTAATAGCTGGTTAAAAACATAGAGTCTCCGTTTTATGAGAAATTCCCTCATCTTCATATTTGCATTTATTCTAAATCAGAATCGAAACAAGTATTTTCAGTATTTTCAATCAAACTGGAATCCGTAAAAGACATTTTTGAATATTTTCTTGTTTGCTTTTTTGGTCTTAATTTTTTAAACATTTAATTTTATTTCCTTTTTTTCCCCCCAGAATATAAGAGTATTCTGTGACATGACTTGTCATTAAAATAGCATATGTTAAAATAATTTAGAACAGCTGCTATCTAGTGATTGAGTCATCTAATTTTCTAGATCAGAATCTCTTGTTTGTTTTGTGGTGAAACGATTTGTCCCTGGGAACAAGAAAAGAGGATAAATATTCAGCTTTTTTCCAACATCCTTCTTGTTCTAGGGAAGTAGCATCTTTCTTCTCCGGACGTGTTTCAGGGCATTTATTAATGACTTCAGAGTTGGTTGTTTGTTCTTGAAAATTTTTCCGCCGTCTGATTCCCTGCAATTTCTCTTGCTTCAGAACTTTTAACTTAAATTAAGGATAAAAAGGGCAACATCTTAGTGTCTCCATTTCATCTGTTTAAAATTTGGTAAATTTTGGGTTGATTCACAGGTGCTTTTTGTGCCATCCTTGCCAAAATATAGTAGCGCAGCTCCTGCTATGTCATTGCCGTGACAAACACTCCAGATCCAAGATGGAAATAAATACATGTTGTTTCCTTCCTTCCTGAGGGAAGGACCCAGAGAGGAGAAAGGGGTGGGAGAAGGTGGTCACTCCCTGTGGGAGCTTTCTGCATCGGGATGCTTTGCCCATAAACGAAATCAGTCTGCTGAGCTACACTGTAGGGCGTTGTACGTTCTTGCACAGTTCGACAAAATTTAAAAAAAAGTATATATATTTCTACATGAAAAGCAGTCCATAAAAGTGATGCACTACAGCATCTTCTCTTTCTATACGGAGAATCCTCTGAGACAGACACGTGCATGCACACACAGATGGATCTGGTGCAGCGTGTTTCGATATCCAGGAGAGCAAATGCCTCCACCTGTGAGGAGCGGAGACTGCTTGGGCTGTGAAATGCTGCAGGGATGGATGGAGGGGCGCAGATGTGCACTGGGACAGCCGGTGTGGCAGGGGACCAGCCTGGCAAGAACAGTTGGATCAGGGGGTGTTTGACTACACTGAGAGGCCCATATGGGAAAAGATGAGGCCAAGCTCTCCAAAGTTATCCACACTTTGCATAGATTAATATTTAGGAAACAGCAAATGTCTCGATTGGAAGGAAGATGATTGTTTTCCTCTGGGGTGGAAGAGAATGTGTCTCCTTTTCCAGACAGTGCTCCGTTTTCAAGGCTACTTCCTCTACTTCACCTGTAATTTTGCTGCTTAAGCATCAGCGCTTAGCAATTATAAAAATCCATAGCCTCCCTCGCCCGCAGCAGCGTTTGTGTGAAGAGTATAATAACCCTCATTTTACAAATGGCAAAACGGAGGTTTGGAGAGCAGCAGCTCATCGTGGCTGCGATGGAAGTGGGCAGCAGAGCTGGGGGCGCAGGCGGCAGAGCTGGCCCTCCAGGCAGCATCCAGCGATGCCGTCCCCACCACGGCAGCTGTTCAGAGTTCTTCCTGTGGAAAGCGCACCAGGAGTTTTACACTGCTGTATTCCTGTTTTCTGTTTTTGTTGCATCCACTTATTGTGCCTGTACTAAAATTAAATGGTGTGTTTTAGGGACAAGGATTGTGTGCTCTAAGTGTTTGCACATCACCTGGTTTAACAGGGGTCATACCTATTTGGACAGAGCTGCTGCTGTAGTAACAGTAATCTGGCATTCTTGAGGATGTCTCACAATGTAGATATGCCATGAATCTCTCTTTACTATACTTTGTATCTCTCAAATTTTTTGAGGAAGTAATGAAGTCTAGTTTGAGTGAACAGTCTTTTTGAAAGTTGCCCCAAGCTTTAATCTCAGATCTCAGACATGCTCCCCAAGTACCTTTTGCCCCTTCCCTACTTCTAGCGAGTTTTGAATCCAGGTTATTTTAACACAACCTTGTGCTCCTCTTCTGTGCTATAGTGAGCAGCAAAACACAGATTGCTTTTGTAAATCCCAGTGTCTTTTCTTATTTGTCCTCTTGAAAACATTCCTAATTCTGATTGCCTTAAAGCCTTTTTTTTTGTTAAATGAAGAAAAATAACTCATTTTATAGTAAATTTAGAACTGTTGAAGGTAGCTGAATTATTTTATTTATATGCAGATCAAGGACAAGTGCATATTCCACTTACGCTTACAGCCTTCTATATAATGTCTTTGAAAGTAAGTTCCACTGATTTCATGGAGGCCACTAACTGGCCTGGCCTAGCAGTAGGAAGTTCCGTTCCCGTCTTACTCCTTAACTCCTAATCTGCTCATCCCCCCTGGAGCTTTAGATAATTGGGATTTTTCTAGTATTTGATTTGCAAATAGCGCATAGGGATTGTATGAATTAATTCCCACCTAACATTAGATAAACATGTTTTTCTTTCTGGAATTTGATATGGCGTTGACTGAGCCATGTCTCCAAATTTAAGATCTGTGATCATCGTTCAAATTCCAGTGGTGTTTTCACATAGGTTCCCTCGCTGCCTCCAAGCACCTTGATGCAATAAGAGTAGTCATGGTATTGTCCTCTGTCGTGCTGCGTTGCATGTTCCTCACCTTACCTAAGGAAAAGGAGTAAGTGTAAAGCTTTCTCTTGCCTGTTTTAAATTGTTTGCTTTAATGACCGTGCTGCTTCTGATTCTTGCCTAGGTTTCTGGGAAGTAGTAAAAATTAAAAAATAGGTTGTAATTCCTGGAAAAAAAATTAGGGAGGGGTTCAGTGAAACACCAGTAAGCTGGTTAAATCTAACTCCTTTAAGCGTTCTACTGTTCTTATTTTTTGCTGCTCTGTGGGTCTGGATGTGATTCACTGCCCTTCTCGGTTACTTTGTTCCGTCTTGGCTGTCAGCGCTGTCTATATTGTTCTGCGATGTCCAAATAATAGCGTTCGTATGCCCACACCCTTCCCTGTCCATTTGATGTCCGTAGAATCAGCCTCTGTCTCTGGTCTATCCTGTTATTAAGCCACCTCTTTTTAAACATTGTACATTTATTTTTTTTCTCCAAATGCAACGTTCTCCTCCTTTCGTAAAACAAGAGACTTAAATTTTTTTCAAAGACTCTTTCAGCAAAGCCGGGAGTCAGATTCTTGTGGAGTCCTTCATAAAAAATTGAAGTCTTGCTATATTAACATACATTGATTTATTCATGGTGTTTCATTACAAATAAGCAAAGATCCCATAATATCAGGAAAGGTTAGGAGAGCAGTGGAGCACGCTATATTATATTGACAGCTCAGTTGAAATTGAGCTACCTTTGGATTGAATTTGGAACGTAGGGAAGGAATTGGCTGGTAAATAAGTCATGAGTTTTACTTCCAAGTGTCTGTATATCACCGGGTTTGCCGCCAGTAAGCGTAATGGAACCCGAGCCGAATTTCAAAGGTCTGCTTTCAGCCCGGGCTTCTCTCTAGGTGCGTTAGCTCCAGCCATGTATGTATTCATGAATAGCTCTCCAGGTCTGTAACCCTGCTGACTTATTCTCTCAAGTGAAAACTAGGCACAGCATTACAAGTAAACCTGCCAAGCCAGGCTAAGAAGCCAGATGAGGGAGGAAATTACAGTAGAAACGGTCTCAGAAACTCAGGAAGAGAAGGTCTTTTGTCTAAAGACTTGATGGTATTTATTTCCTCTAATCATATCATTTCATTTCAACATTTCATTTCAGTGTATTCTCATTCAGGCAGAAAAAGAATCTGAAACCCCTGGAAATCAGTAAGAGGCTCCCATTGTTTTCAGTGGGCTTTGGAGAAGACCATTTGCCAGAAAAAAAAAATCCTCGATGGAAAACGTGTCCTTGTATTGCACCAAAAGTTTTCATATGCTATGGGAAATTCTCATGAAATTTCTGCAGCTCATACTGTGCATTCTAGTTTGGCTGCAGAAGTTCTGAGAGAGGTAACAAAAAGGCATTCTTTGCACCTTGTGTTGTAAATCAGCACACGCTGAGGTTTTAGCGGAGAGAAGAAAGTAGTTTCTTACTAAGTAAAGGCTTGGAAAAATTGTCATATTTGCTTGCCAGCATCCAAATGCAGATCTGTTCACTGGAGATACTGAAATAATATCTGTCCTTTAATTTTCAGTCTTTACTCTGAAGCAGTGGTGCAGTAGGGGAGCAGAGAAAGGGCAGGTGCAGAAGGCCCCCTATCACCTTACTGTCCTTGTTCTTCATTTGCAGATTACATACAAGGCCGTTGGGTCTCTGGATCCCAGTGCTGACCTGTCCAGCCAAAGAGGGAAAGTCTTCAAGCTAAGGAATGAAACACATCACCTCTTTGTAGGATTATATCCAGGGACTACGTATTCATTCACCATCAAAGCGAGCACAGTCAAGGGCTTTGGGCCACCCATCACCACACGGATTGCAACTAAGATTTCAGGTACTGCTTTGGAGAAGAAGGAACCTGCTAGGACTTTGTTCTTTAGATCCACAGCTAACAGACAGATAAAACAGTACAAAAGTGTTTAACTTAGTGTCTCCTATGCACTCTTCATAGGCCAGTTTTTTAAAGGGGCCACGATCCAGTGTCTGTGTTCATTTAGATTGCAAATGTAGTTGTTAGAGTTGACTTGTTGATACCGTAGGAGCATTTTAATGAGAACCTCCACTAGTTCTGCAGATGAATTTTCCCTATAATAGATTCTTGATATCATGTGCTTAGTCTGGTAGTCTCCTTCAACAATGTGTCTTTTATCTTCAAGATGCACCCAACATGGAAGTAATGAAAGAATTGAATTAACATTAGAAGGAGATTTTAAAAAAAGGAAAAAAAAAATTGTGGATTTCCTTCTGAGTAAGGACAGAGGAGGGAGTAGAGGTAGGCAGACAGGTATGTGAAAGACGCTAAAATCAGTCACTGTTGCAGGGCGAAGGCTCCCGGGTCCTTGGGGAAAAAAGGAGGGAACTTGTGGTGGCTAGACAAAAAAAAAAGATGGATAGGAGGATGGTGGAGAAAATATGGGACAGACATATGTAGATTTTAATTTTAAGATTTAATTGGTAGCACTAAAATGGCTTCTCTACCAGAGTTTAAAACTACCTTTTTTTGGAGTATCGTCACCTGTTTTCTCAGCAAAGGCAAAACAAACATTCATTTTAGAAGCTTGATATACTGATTCCTTGGGACACTTGTAATGCTTGAAATTATGGCTGGTGGCATGGAAGAGAGCGTACAGCATTGCTTATTCTCCATTACTCTATCTCAAAACTAGTTAATAAAAATAAGTTGTTAGCTGCAAGTGGCAGTGTAAATTTTTAGGAAGCAAAATATATCCATTCCCTCCACTAACCATCAGCAAGGTTTGAACCCTTGGCATTTAGCGCAAAAGCCCATGTCCCAGCACTTTGCATAGTAAAGCCGTTCGCCGTCAGTAGCAGCTCCACGGACTACTATGGTTCATGCAGCCCTGCACTGACAGGAAGTCATGGCATACACTCTGTTCACTTCTGTCCAGAACAGAAAAGCAGAGTAGCACAGTAGAGGTAGTACTTTTTCCCCCGATTCAGTTTCTTTTCATCTTATTATACAGTGAGTGCTCAAATCATGTTAGGAGCCTGCGTGATTGTTAACTGTACGCACACTGAGCTCTGCTTGTCTATTCTTTTCTGCCTTCCAAACATCTGGCTCGCAGTAGGCAGGCACAGACTCCACGTGGGCACTAGGATAGTCTCTGACGTTAGATTAGCCCGTTGCGTGGTCAGTTCTATATGTGTAATTTGAAAATTACTGTTAAACTTGCTCTGAGATGCAGTTCCAAAGGAAGCAGGGGGAAAAATGATTTTTGCATTGGCTTATCTTTTCACTTACTGGAATGTCCCTATAAGGCTTTCTGACAATGTATATTTTTAAAAGGAAAAGGCATCTATGTTGTAGGAACGTGTGAGTGTATGGATTTGTATAGGTGCACGTTTGTTTATTTCTTAATCATGATTAAATGGCAGAATTCCGAAGGACTCTTAGAAGAGCAACATTAAATCAATGAGCAGTGCTTGTCTTTTTAGAGATGTCGCTGCTTACTGTCGTTTTGTTGAGGTACTATGTGAATGTTCCCTGTGGAGTATATAGGAAAGCTACTCTATCTGGTTACAGTCTTTTGACTAATGCAGACAGCAATCACTGCGTTATACTCCATACTGTTAGCCCTGCTAAGACCTATGTTTCTTCTGCTAACTTCTTAACTATAGGTGTTCAGAAAGCAAGACTGTAAATTCACTGTGTCTGGTGCAGTGTTTTACACAAAAGATTAAAGACTAAACAGGTCATGCGCACAGCCAGAAAGAGACATCTGAGGCTGTTCATATCTCAGAAGTAATTTTGTCTCACGAGTGCGATGCTCCAGCTAGGCTTGTAGAAGCTGCTTCAAAGCACAATTGTGGCGTCAAGAAAGCGAGTTTCTAGCACGTTTCTGGTGGCCAAGCTGGAGCCTATTGGGGCACTAGATTGAGCTGTAGAAACATCCCCTCTGGCTGGAGCAGGTGCTGAACAATTTTTATTTTGGCATCTCTAGAAAGTGCTGTGATATCTGGTAGAGAATACTGCTGGGGAGGAAGTATTGTGATACCTAGTGTAGAAGACAGCTTCGTGACATGCGTCTTCTTTAAATGACTGGCACTGCTTTCCCTTGATGCAGAGCACCTTTTTCACGGAAATCCTTGTAAAGACCTTAGCATTCATCCTGAACTCACTGCTAACATATTGATGGGGAAGTCGGTAGCTGAGCTGATAATAGCAACCACCGTTCTTGACAGTTTTGGGGCTTTTGGATAAGATTCCTGATTGTAAACAGGATTACAGTAGAAATCGCTATGAGAGGATTAAGTGTGGAACCCCTGCAATGCAGTTTGCCCTTGCGAGTTGCAGCTGAACTGAGGGGACACTACACTCTTCATTTAAATTCTTCTATTTGCTTTATCCTTGAAGATATTTCAACAAAACTTGGATCTTTGGGATAAATCTGATGCCCGTACTTCTTTGTGATCTCATCGTTTCGTCCACAGTTAAAGATATGTCCAAAACAGATGTCTGCTACTGGGGAGGGAGGAAGTAACTTATTAAGCAAAATATTTATGTCTAAGGAAATATATCTTACTTTCATGAAATGACCCTAATACAAAATAACAAAGCAGAACTAGTCTTGGAAGTTAGACTTGTTAGGCTAAGTGTGACTATTATGCAGTTTTCCATGTTGCCTTAGGGAAGATGCTCAGTGAAGTGATGGGCACCATGGGTGGTTACTGCTCAGTTACAGCCATTGGAAGCCTTGCAGCTGCCTAATGCTTTTAGTGTTCAAAATCACTAAAGCTCCGGGGATTTGCACTGCAGATTTGAGCACTGAAATAACCTGCCTAATTTGTGCTCCTCTCTTTTCATGCTTTCCTATTTCATAACACACCTTCCAGCTGATCAAGGAGACACACAGCTTAAGCCTATGTATTAAAAGCTACACCTGTGGGAGGTCTAATCCAGGAACAAGACCAGAGAACAGGAGCCAGGTTTTCTGTGTTCTCTTCTTAGCTCTGCCACTGATTCGCTGGTCCTAAGTGGTATTCTTTAAACATCGGTGCAGTCGTCTTTCTTGTAAAATTGAAGGAATGATCCTATCTCAAAGGATTACTTAAAAAATTCAAGACAGGATTTGCAAAGCCAGCTTGAAGATTTGGGTGTCTGATTCCTGTTTAATTTTAATGGAAACAGGCCTACAAATTTTTAAATGGTTTTGACAATTTTGGTCTTAACACTTGCAAAGTATTTTGACATTTCATTTAAGCAGTGTTAAATGGTCCCCAAGAAATGTTAATATTATGTTGTCATCACTACCAAAAGCAGTAAGTGGTAAATACCTGACGCACCACTTTTTGTTCTGCCGTAGCACCATCGATGCCTGAATACGACACAGACTCCCCCTTAAATGAGACCGACACCACCATCACAGTCCTGCTGACGCCTTTTTTGGTTTGGTCTTTCTTCTCAGTTTTCTCTCTTTTTTTTCCCCAGGTTTCACTCAGACCTCCCTCATTCTCATCTGCTAATGCGCTTGCTGAAAACGTATGCTGACTAAAAGGCCAACTCTGCTGTTGGTTCTGCCTTTCACAGTCTGCATTTATAAGTGCCTCAATCTGCTTGCCTCCTGCTGTTAACCTCTGGGAGGGATTGCTGATAGCATTGCATGGGGTTATTACCCTTTCAGCGTCACTTCAGATGCCTATGCGATACTGGTGCTTCAATGTGTGGAAGTGTATGTACGCCAACATTGCAAGTCTAGTATTGCCATGCAAAGGTGAAGGAGGCTTCAGGTTTCTATCCTCTGCCGTCTCTTCCATAATGGATGAGGCCTTTCTTTGTAACCAAGGAATGCCCAAACTATCTTGGGTAACAGAGTGCTGGAACAGGTTGCCCAGAGAAGTCGTGGAATCTCCATCCTTGGAGATGTTCAAAAGCCATCTCGACAGGGTCCTGGGCAATGTGCTCTGGGTAAATCTGCTTGAGCAGGGCGGTTGGACTAGATGATCTCTAGAGGTCCCTTTCAACCTCAACCGTTCTGCGATTCTGTGATCCTGACAGTTTTGCAGATGCGTTTGTTCAGGTTGTGGATCCAAAGGGACTCCTCACACCTTGCGTTACAGTCTAGCTGTTACTCTCGTACTGGCTGCAGGATGAAGCAGGAGCTGATGCAGGGGAGAGGAGCTCTGGGTTAGACCGAACTCTACAGTCAGTCTCAGAGTGAGGCTTTGTCGGCTGCTCTGGGCAAGCAGTCTCCAGAGTAGCAGATTTAGGGACAGGAAACTGCATGCCTACCCTTGGAGTAAAATGATGACCACATAGAAAATACTTCTAGCTCTCTCTGAGCTGGGTCCGTTCTTACTAGTGAGATGTCCACTACTGGAACAGGACACTCGATAACAGATCTCTCCCTGACTGTGGAAATACGACTTGCAGAGACCTGTACTTCATTGCTGTCTTTTGTCTACGTGAATTTGTACGCAGTGAAAGATGTCGGCACAGAAGAATAAACTTCCTGAGTGAGCCAGCGTTGACAGCTGCCTTTATCTGTCCGCAGGAGAAATTCCAGTTAGTCATTCATTCTGCCGGTCTCTTTGGCTGAGTGTAGAAATTAGTATTGCTTATGATAAAAGCCGCTGGAGTTTACCTAGGAAGATCTAGGCTGCTTTGCAGAAGTATCCGGCAATAATTAGCTTCCTGTAGTCTCTTCAGACTTTTAGCTTGAGTTTTCACAAGACACTCTTGAAATATTTTCTGCGGGTGATATTTTAAAAACACTTAGCCCTTTCTTTCAAAAGTGATTTGGGTCTATGCATCCCATTGACGCTTAAGTGTTTTTTGAAAGATATGCCGCTAAGTATTTGGGAGCAGACTGGTCACATGTAAACCTACTTGGCTGTAATGAAATATGCTATATCGATTAGTGGTCGGGCCTAAACCACAGCTTTCCCCCAAACTGCTTTGATATCTTCAAGCAGAAAATCTGTTCTTTAAGACTTAGCACCATCCCTTTTCTAGTTTGTTCTGCTTTAAAGTTTTACTTTAATCTCTGGTACTCCATATGAACAAATATAGGAGCTTATTTTCTAAGTCCTGTAGGGATGTTGTTCTGCTGGAAAAGAGCAGTAAAATCACACACTTCTGTTTTATTTCTTTATTTAGGGGAACATTCTTGTATCTTGTTTTACCACCTGCTGTCTGAAGAGTATAGCTATTTTGTCTCTTTATTGAAAAGTCTTGCAATTTTTCTCAAAGTCAATTTACTACACTTTAACCACATTCAGTGAATAATGTCCTTTCCAGCAAATAAGTTAATTATAAAAGAAAATCTGTAAGCATTTTTATGAATTTTCCGTCTGGTTTCTTTAATTGCTTTGTGGTCTATTATATACACATTAGCGGAGACGGCGATATTTAATTCCACATCCAAGTGATCAGGTTACTTCTGTAATGAGCCCGTTTCATTGACTTACAGATGAGTATATGAAAAACAGAATTGAAGTTGGGGGCAGAGGGGTGTCTTAGGAAGATTTTTGGCTTTGTGTTAACTACAACGGCTTGGCAATGTGTGCACACCTTTACCATATAGCCGAGCACACCTCTCCCTTTAGTCTGTTCTTGGTCTAAACTTGGCAAATCCAATTGTGTCAACTGTAGGTCAAATTTTCCCTTAGCTCTTTCACAGTCTGTCAGTCTCTTACGCACGCTCTCTGATTTGTCTAAGTCCTCCTGAAATACAATATCCAAACCCAGGTAGTGGCTTTGCATATGCAAGCTGAGATCCAATATATCCTCTGTGTTGCTGCCTGGTTAGTTGTTCTACCTTATATCTGTGTGTGTTTTATTTCTCCTTCGCAAGTACAGTAGTTTGCATTCATCCCAACCAAATATCATCAAATTGATTTTCAAAATTACTTTGAATTCTGATACTGACTGAAAGGACCTACAGCCCCTCTTAGCCTGATGCCATCCTCTGTTCAGATATCCAAGGCGTTTAGGGAAAATATAGAAGCAGATTCGAGACAAAACGCGTGTGAGAAATCTCTATGGTCAGCAGCGAGGCCATTTTGAAGTAGCTGGCAGAGATCTGGCATGCAGGATTCTCGTGGGATGTCTGTTCACCTGCACTGCCAGACAGACATCACCTTGCTTTCTAGATCCGCTTTCTTTTGCACACTGACCTTTCAGATCCCAGCCTGCCTAAGATGCTTCTAAAAAGGTACTTGAAAGTAGCCTGGAATAGATTTTCTTACAGCCTCCTGGAAAACGTCTGACGTTGAGAGCTTTTGCTATGCAGGAATAGGTGGGCCACTCATCTGAGCAGCCTCGCAAGTCCCCAGGCTGCCGGTTTCTTCTCTGCAGTGTCACAGAATTTTACTGTACTTCCAAACTGCAGGGATGAGAAGCACAGTAATTGTTCTTAATATTTCCTCTTATAGGCTAGTGGTGGTGAGTTGGAGTACGTGTGGGCGTGTAACTGTAAACTTGCAGCCATACATAAGACAGCTGCGTGACATTGTCTTGTGTTATTTCGTTCTGCTGTAGTTGTAGCCTGCAAGATCATTTTTAGAGTAGCATTGTACAATATTTCAAATAAGATTCATTGCATTTGCATGCGTCTGAAGTGTGGGTACACCAAATCCGCAGTCACTTTCAACATGAAGACGTTTTTGATGTTTCCTGGTGCTCATCCTAAGTAACTTAAATGAATTTGTTTATAAAATAATGATCACGAACTTGGCATTTTTAACAATCTGTAGACAGCAGTGAAGAAGGCACTTTGATAAGAATTAATAGGAATAATATAAACTTAGATATTCTTTTGTCTATTTTATCCCATTGCCAAAAGAAAGGCGAAGCATCAACAAGCATAAATGTTCTCCTCTGTGGCCCGGGCATTTCAATCTCACCTTTATTTTTCATGCTACAGCCCCCGGAGCTTGACTTCACGTTGCCCTTTAAAAATAACTTATAGCTGTTTTTATATCAATCTAAAGCCCCTGAATGGTGTTATGATTGATTTGTTGGAAGACATTCATCTATAGTGGCTTCAGAAGAGGAAAGAAGAACGCAAGACTTCCCAATCTTCTTTCTTCAACTCTTTCCTGAAAAAATTCCAGGGTGATTTTTGAGGACTGTTCTACCTTTGAATCTGTTATTGTCAGGATGGTTGAGTCAGTAATTCATAGAGTATTCACATATGACATCTCTAGACCTCTATTTGAGAATTTATATCTCATTCACTACTTGGAAATATGGCTATGAGGAATTTTACCTACATGACATGTCCACTGAGCAGTTTGTTATGTGTACGATATTTGAAAGTCCAACGGGTTTATTAACATGTGGTTGGTTGTGCCGATCTATCTATACCACTAGAGTGTAGAAGAAAATCGGAAATCAAATTTCCAATGCGTGCATTAGCTTTGAGAATTTCAGCATTTAAATAAGTGTTTGCTTTGAATTTGATTACCCTGTAGGTGTGTTGCTCTGGATATTGGAGCTACTTTATTCTAGATACTGCGGGAGAGGTTAGAGAAGAGACTGTAATTGTATCTTGGTTCATATAGCCTGTGGAGGACTATTGTGCTGTACCGGATCAGAGAGCTGACCTGAGGACTTCTTTGTCAGAAAAAGAGAGATTTAATCTTCCTATCTTCTCACAGTTCTCTTTTTTGTAAATAACTTATGATGTTCTTGTTTGACTCTACCAGCCTGCAAGTACAGGATGGTCTTCAGGTGCCTGACCTCTGTACTATGTTAAAGAATGTTATTTTTAGAACACAGGCATATGAACTTTGCACATGGCCTCATGCACACATATATACCATGTAAGGAATAGATCTAAGTGGTCCTGGAGAAAGATATTCAGTCATTTACATTGTATGTGTGCAGTGGATGGATATGTGTAGTCACTTCGGTGATGAGAAAGGATGGGGTATTGTATTAATATATGTCTTGAAATACTGTGTTTTGCTTAAGAAATCTAAACAGGAGAAGGTGATTTTAAATATTTTGAATTTTCCAAATACTAATATTAGGAAGCACTGAGCAAAAGTAAAGCAAATATTTTTGTATCAAGATCAGACAGTAGGAGAAATTAGTTCATATGGACTGTACTGACCGTTTCTTGGTCTCCCAAAGATCAAATAATTGAAATATTTTCTATTTACATGATGCTAAACAGACCAAAAGAAAATAAAGTTGTGGCGTTATTTAACAGAACAGCTAGAAAGAAGAACAGTATTTTTTTCTACTTTTATACTCAAGTCTTTAGCTAGTCTCCAAGCAAACAATCCAGTATGATGTATCTGTGTACTTATATTCCTATATATAGTAACAAATGAAGATATCCTATAATGTAGGGATAGTTCTGTGATGAGTGGTATTGCTTTCATTTTATGTTGGAGAACTGAGGGTCTGAGTAGATGAAACTTGCCTACTATCTCAATCTGCAGCAAAGTGGAAAATTTGAATCTCCAGAGTGGTCAGCTAGAACTTTAGTCTCCAGATAATTCTTCTTCTTGTGATTCTAGCCGCTGAATCTGTTCGTACCAGGCTTACCTTTCTCGAATCCTGCTCACTGACATCTTTATTTTGATCTTGTTTGTAGTGTACAGTACTCTCCGTTTTTATGCAGCAGTGGTTTGCAAGTCTGATGGACTTGATGCTGTGGTGGAGGAGGAATGGCATCAACAGACAAGAAGCTGTCAACTTGCAAACTTGGCTCAGGTTTCTTGTTGGTTTTAAAGATCGTGGCTTTGGTGTAAAGCATCTAGTAGCTACACAGGTAGCAACACTGTGCAGCATGGTGCTTTGGAAGTTCTTGGTGGGATTTTATTACCATTGCATGAGTTTGTCTCAGGTCTTTATGTTATTAATTAATACATTAATGTCAGGAAAGGGTGGCAACTGCTTGTTCTTAAACCTGCCACACAGCATACCTCGTACTTTAAAATAAAGACCGGAGTCCAAGACCAGTGAAACAATGAAAAATGTTCTCATATTGAAAGCTGCGAGAAGAATAAAAAAATGATTGTGCCCTTGGTAATTCGGAAAGTTCAGTTGCATTGGTAGGCGTGTTATAAATATCTAGAAATACAAAATCCTGGCTAGCTTTTTCTAAACTCATAAGCAAATATGTATATTATGTGACTTGGTTCATTGATTAGAGGGAAACAGTCATCATTTTAGATCTATTAATTTTGTAGTATCTAATA